ACCTCAGATTGAGGACGTTTTTAGCAAAGGCCAGCTTAGGAGTACCCTAATTAAGTTAATAACAATGTACCTACCTATATAGTTTAAGTTTAAAAAATTTGGCTCTCAAAAAAAATTTCAATCGTTATACTGTTGATATTTGTCTCTAGACTAATGAGTTTACCGACCACTGAATTCTAGGGCAAAGGAAATTAATGAGAAAATAATCCAATGGGACTGCATCAAAATAAAAATTTTCTGCACAGCAAAAGAAACAGACTGTCAAACTTCAGAGGGAATGCAGGAAAGGGTGGGGGGAGGGGGTCGAGATCAACGAAACGGCTTGTATGCATGCATATAAGCATAACCAATGGACACAGACACAAAGGGGGTGAGAGCATATGCAGAGGGGGCAGTGGGGCGGGGAGGAGACTTATGTAATATCTTAATCAATAAAGAATTTTTTAAAATATTGAAAGTGAATAATAATGCAATACAATGAAATTAAGCATGAGAACAAAGGATGTTTACTATTTAATTTAAATATTGGACTGGTGAGGAATTCTTAAACAGAACTCATAAAACAATGAGCAAAGGGAAAAAAAGAGATTGCATTGAAATTTTTAAAAAAAATCTTTCCATCAAAAGAAAAATATACAAAGCATTTCTTCAAATAATTATTGGAGGACAGGTGATTCAATAGAAAAATGGGTCAATGATTTAAATATCTAAGTTTTCAATAAATATTTGATGATCTATTCAACTTCATACATTATCAAAGAAAAAATGGAAAGTACAAAATCCCAACATAATGTTCAAAATTAAAAGTCTAAAAGACTGTCAACACCAAATATTAGCAAGGATGTAGAATGATGGAAAGTATTGGAAGTATTGACTAAAGTTGAATATTTATATACTTTAAGATCCAGTAATTATGTATTAACGTATATCTCTAGCATAAATGTGTACACACTTGTATCAAAAGACATCATGGCAAATTAATAATAACTAAAGTTCAGAAACAATATAAATGTTCCTCAAACTTACAGTAAATAAATATGTTGTTTTAGATTCATACAACTAAATATTATACAGCAATGTAAATAAACAAACTACCATTATAAGGGACAATGTGGATGAAGCTTACAAACATAATATTGGAATAAAGAAGCCAGGAAGAAGTATACAGTGCAATTATACTCATAAATAAGTGAGACTAATGTGGAATTAAAAAGTCAGCATGGTAGTTTACATTGGAATTGATTGATTAAAAATGAATATTTACATTAACAATAGATAGTAATTAATTAAAGAGAAAACTATATAATATTTTCATATGATACCAAAAATGCATACAATAAAAACCAACAGTAAAATGCAAAAATCTTGTAGTAAAGTAGGCATAGAAATGAATTTTCTTAAACTGATGAAGGGTAGCTACCAAATATAATATACAGAAGAAAAAATTTAAAAGTATTCCATTCAAAAGCAAAAAAAAAAAGAAAAAAGATATCTATTATTGCCACCAGTATTCATTATTGTACCAGTGGTCCCACTTTATGCAATAGCACAAGAAATGGGGTTTGATAATTTAAAAGAAAGAAAAAGTGTCATTATTTCTAGATTAAAAGTCTATCTAGGAAAGCCAAGATAATCGTATAAAAACTATAAAAACTAATTAGAAAATTAGTTGATCTAGGTTTCTGGATAATAAGATCAGCATGTAAAATTCAATAACATTTCTAAATACCAGCAATTTATAATATGATAAAAAATACAGCCTTAAGAGCATAAATAAAATCAGTAAGGTATGTAAGATACAAGGAAATAAATCTGCTAAATTGTAAAAGACTTCAGGGGTAGAATTACAAAACAATACATATTACAGAGTGACACTAGTGAAATAGAAGACAAGGAAGTTCCAAGTCCTTTTTCCTGGGAAAACTCTAAAACAACCAGAAAGCGACTGAAATAACTTTACAGGAACCCTAGAACACAGTTCAAGTTTACAGCAACCAAGTGGATATCCAGAAAAATCAAGAAAAAGCCATTTCCAAAATGTTAGGAAACGTTGCGGCATGTTTACGCACCCTTGCCACAGCACTGTTTCAGAACAGTGTTGGTCTGGAGGAGGCAGCAGCCCATTTTCCTATTGCCTCTTTCAAATAAGAGGAAAAGCCAACCTTATTTTCAGTGGCCTAACCTGTTTGGGGAGTTGATTGAAGGACTGGTGTTCATTTTACCTCAGCCCCAAACCGGAGGGTACTTCTCATGGAAGCAGCAGGGGGATTATAGACCTGCAGACTCCTGGACCAAGAGATTACAGGTGAAGACAGAACATCTAAGTTCCCGAAGACAAGCAGGAGTGACACTCTGTAATAAATTAAGACTTTTTAAAAAAGCCATCCTATCTAATAAAAGAGAAACATGGTAATTAGCGTACGACCGCTACCCTTCTCATTGGCTAATC